AATCTCTTAAATTGAGTTAATTTGAAATAAATAACAAACTTGTAACTATAGAATTCAATATAAATATCACTCTATTTCAAGATATTTAAACCTCAATCTCAATCTTAATTTCAAATTTAATAATCTAAAATCCATAACTTTGTATATACAAATTTACTAAAAAAAAACTATTCAAGTAATTAACGTACGAATTTCAATCTCAAAAACTTGAAAGAAATAACAGTAATTTACTGATAATTTATACTATAATAATAATAATCTACACTAATCTACAAATAAAACAATAAAATTTTGTATAAAAAAATCACAAAAATATCAATTACCTCTGTCAATGGGGACCGTAAAGCTATGGAGGCAATGAAGGCAGTAAAAGCTGGATTTTGACATACCAAAAACGAAATTAAAGTTTTGTAAACTAAAATCCAAGGAAAAAATAAGGAAAGAAAAAAAAAACGAAAAAAAAAAAAACAGAGAGTGCTGCAACTTACAAAAGGCAGGATGGAGGCGCGTGGAGGCTTAGAGATGATGGATCTTGCACCAAAACGCACGGATCTACAAAGAAATCTGCAAATGCCTGAATGTAAATCAAAGGAAAAAAAAATTAGCACCAGATCTGCGCAGAGAGGGACCAACTCACCGGCTTAGAGGTGATCAGATAGTAGGGGGCTTGATGGCAAGAAGCCAGAATCTGGCGGCACCAACAAGAACAGGGCTGGAGAAAATGAACCAAATCTGCCGCAGAGGAAGAAGAAGAAATGGGGGAAAGAAGGCGGCCGGGGGGGTTAATGTCAAGTATATTCGACAACGTTGCTGTCGAATATACAGGGGAAACGACGACGTTTCTAATATATTCGACAGCAATGCTGTCGAATATATAAGAAACATAATTGAGGCTGTCGACAATACATATTTGATAGCCAATTGGTTGTCGAATAAAATCATATATTCGACAGAATAATTGTTGAATAAGTTTTCTGTCAATTATGAGCCAAAAAATTGATTATCATCGACAATCAACCTTATTCGACAGTAATGGTGTCGAATATTGCCTTTATTCGACAACTATTTGGTTGTTGAATATGTTTTTGTCGTTTTTGCTTAGTTTTCCAGTAGTGGTTGGAGTACCCTTTGTGCTCCTTAAAATAATAAAATTTATTTGTTGATAAAAAAAAAACTTTTTACAAAATCTACACTAAATCTGTGATTTGCCTTTGAACCAACAATCCTTTTCTTCATGGTTTGTTTCTTTGCAATGATAGCATGGAGGAAACCTCCCTTTTTTGGTTTGTTGATACTGTTGATATGCTTGGTTAGAACCCATAGTCTTATTGCTTTCAGAATTAGTGGCTGGTTGTTTGCCTTTTTAGCTTGCAAGGAAGGCTCCTTCTATAGTTTCATCGGTTTTCATAACCAGCCTTTGCTCATGAGCTTGAAGCTTGCTTATGAGCTCAGTAATGGTTAGCTTTTTGAGGACATAAGATTCTTTTATGGTAGAATCTTGGACTCAAATTTATTTGATACACTAATAATAATCTTTTCCACCACCCTTTGATCTGGAATTTCCTCACCATGAAGTCTAATTCGATTGACAACATCCATCAATTTATTTGTATATTGATGGACTGTTTCTATCTCCTGCATTTTTAGCATCTCAAATTGTCTTTTTAAGGGTTTCAATCTTGTTACCTTTAACTTGAGAACTGCCATCAAACTCTTTTTTAAGAGTATCCCAAGCTTCTTGTGCTATTTCTGCTCCCATGATCCTTGAAAAAATATCATCTATTACAGCGCTATGAAAATATGAAAGGGCTTTGTATGATGCTTGAACATAGTCAGCATGCTGCTTCATCTGGGCTACAGTTGGATTGTTTGGCAGCATAGCATAGGAGGACCCATCTTCTACAAATTCCCACATACCATTACCTCTTAGAAAGGCCTTCATTTTGATAGCTCAAACATTGTAATTTTCTCCCATGAACATAGGAGGATTAGAAAGTGTTAAAGAATTGTTTGAAGACATGGCTGTGTTTTTTGTTTACATAGCTTCTCTCCCTCACCAGCACTCGTGTTTGCTCTCTCTCACTAGAATCTAAATTTGTTTTGCTCTAACAGGGCCCTTAACATGATTTTGCTCTGATACCAATTGTAAGTTTCTAATCTAGAAGTAGTTAGCAAAGAACACAGAAAATACAGAACCAGAAAATTCAGAACAAGAGCTTCTTTGATATGGAGCTCTCTTTTCATTTTGGATTGAAAAATACAACACATATGAGTTGCTAAAATGTATATGCATTCGTACATACAGTTTTGCAAAAGAAAAAATTGCCAGATAACATAAAGTTTAACTGCAAAAAACTGAAAAAAAAAAAACAAATTAAAAAGCAAAAACTGCTGTTAACTGATATCTTCAACACATTGAAAAGGGCTATCCATTTTTTCTCTGCATTGCAAGCTAGTGTTGGACATTGCCCACCGAAAATGCAGGCCCATTGTATTTCCTTCCCCCCTTGATGAGCCCATTGTCAGAAATTAATTCAAAATTTTTAAACCACATCATCATGCATCACTCAAGTGCTAATTAGTTACGATTGTTACGTACAGGTGTTTTGCCTTGTACATCACAAGGCATCTCAGCACTCTATTCCCTGCAGAGCATCGTAAAGAAATTCTTCGATACATATATTATCATCAGGTACAGACTACATGTATATAGAGTCATAGACACACAAAATTTTCTATTCACTTGATAGCTACTTGTGCATTGGATTGCTAATCCATTTTTGTGCCTTGTAGAATGAAGATGGTGGATGGGGATTTCACGTTGAAAGCCATAATAGCATGTTCTGTACCGCTCTTAACTACATTTGCATGTGTATTCTTGGGGAAGGACCTGATGGTGGTGAAGACAATGCCTGTGCAAGAGCGCACAAGTGGATTCTTGACCATGGCAGTGTCACTCACAAACCTTCTTGGGGAAAGACTTGGCCATCGGTACGATTATCAATTTTAGTCGTTATGATAAATTACTATAATTTTGGATCATAAGTTCAAATATTTTGTGTTGAACTTGGTATACATGCTAATTTCTTGCATGGTACGTACTTCTTGTTGCAGATACTACGAGTATTTGACTGGTCAGGAAGCAACCGATGCCCCTAGAGTTTTGGTTCCTTCCTTCTTTCAGTCCTATGCACCCAAGTTTGTCCCATCTTACATGTTTTAATTAAGTATTCTACCAAAAAAATGACCATCACCTATATATAATTTAAAACTTTGTTCCCAAAAATGGCTTTAAGTTGGTCTTAAATCTGTTGTAATCTGATGCGGCATTGTTTGTGAACGTTAATTGTTGAAGTTTACATTTTTCATTGTGATATTTAGGTAAAATGTGGTGCTATTGTCATATGGTCTACATGCCAATGTCATATCTATATGGAAAATGGTTTGTGAGTCCAATCACACCTCTAATTCAACAATTAAGAGAGGAACTCCACCTTCAATCTTACAAAAAGATTAATTGGAAAAAAGCACGTTATTTATGTGCTCCAGTAAGTAATAGTTGTGAGCTAGAGATATATCATAGTTCATTTCCTATTCTCCATGTTACTAATAGAGATATTAAATTATTTTCAAAATTGGTATTGCAGGAAGATCTTTACTACCCACATCCATTGATACAAGATTTGATGTGGAACAACTTGTATGTATTTGCCGAGCCTTTACTTACTCGTTGGCCTCTTAACAAGTTGGTTAGAGAGAAGGCTTTACAAGTGACTATGGAACACATTCATTATGAAGATGAGAACAGCAGATACATCACCATTGGCTGCGTGGAAAAGGTAATGTGTCTATTTATTAGGGACTAACTTATAGGAAAGAGGAATAATATTGATGTTATTTCTAGAAGCTAAGCATGATGAATAACCCTCTTATTATTATTCGACATGTATTGAGTTGGTGTTGTGCATGCTTGCTCGTTGGGAGGAAGATCGAAACGGTGATTACTTCAAAAAACATCTCGCTAGGATCCCAGATTACATATGGGTTGCTGAAGATGGAATGAAGATGCAGGGTTTTGGAAGTCAAGAGTAGGATGCTGGTTTTGCTGTTCAAGCTTTACTTGCTAGCAATCTCGTAGATGCAATTGGACTTGTACTTAAAAGAGGAAATTCTGAGGTTTGACACATTGGTTGCCTACTATCATAAACAATTCTTAATTTCTTTCTTAATGAGAAAGTGAGAAAATGATCATAATTGCTATTTCTCACTTAAAATTTTGAAGGTCAAGGATAACCCTTTGGGTGATTTTAAGAAAATGTATCATCATTAATTGTTCCAAAGGATCTTGGACTTTCTCTGATCAAGATTATGGACGGTAAGTTTCTAATTGCACTGCGGAAGGCTTGAAGGTAAACTTGATTTTTCTATTGTTGGGCAATTGATTTAAAGAAATCAAGAAATGCACCATTAGTTCTTTCATTTTATTTTTAATGGGTTTTACTTTAATATACAGTGTTGCCTACTAATGTCAACATTGCCACAAGAAATTGTTGGTGAGAAACTAGAACCAGAGAGGTTGTATGATACCGTTAATGTTGTGCTTTCTCTCCGGGTGAATATTTGTAGTGATCATAGTATTGATAGTTTTTTTGTTTAAATGTTAAGTTCTTGCACTATCTAAATAAGCTTTTTCATTTGACTAATTCAGAGCAAAAATGGAGGTCTATCTGCTTGGGAACCAGCTGGAGCTTCAAGATGGTTGGAAGTAAGCACTAAAAAATATGGGAAAATGCCTCTCTTTTTCTCCATGGAAATTTCAAGGTTATTAAACTCTTCTAAATTTAGATGAGGCTAGTTAATGTTTCTTTCTCTGTCTTTCATTCTCAGATGCTTAATCCCACGGGATTTTTTGAGGACATTGTCATTGAGCACGAATATGTTGGTGCTCTTCATCAGCAATCCAAGCTTTAATCTTGTTTAAGAAGTTATATCCACAGCTTAGGAAGAAGGAGATTGAAAGTTTTATTGCAAATGCTGTACGCTACCTTGAAAAATGTACAAATGCCTGATGGGTCATGGTATATTCCTCTCCTGTGTTTTTCTAATACGTTCTAAAGCATATGATATTTAACAAAGTATTAGAGAAATCAATTATATGAAGAACTTCAACAGGTACGGAGCTGGGGAGTCTGCTTCACATATGGGTCACGGTTTGCACTTGGAGGACTAGCTGCTGCTGGCAAAACTTACAAATTGTGCAGCAATGCGAAAAGGTGTTGAATTTCTCCTCAAAACACAAAGGGAGAATGGTCAATTTGGAGCAACAGATAAAGGAACAAAATAATTACCATGTTTTGTGTCATATATATATATATAAATATATTTTTGATAAAATGTTTTGTTTCATATTTTACACATTGATTGACTTGATCTCCCTCTTAGCCTAGACTGAATTAGTAAATGCTTATGTCGTTTGTTATATGTGTAGAAATATATACCTCTGGAAGAAGGCAGATCAAAATTGGTACTTATTGCATGGGCTATGATAGGTTTGATTCATGTTGGACATGTAAATTTATGGTTAAAATTCATTATCATGCCGTCTATTATTCATGAGATGGTTTTTTTCGTTAAAATTTTGGTCATAATATACAGGAGGAAAGAGATCTAACACCTCTCCACCAAGCAGCCAAGCTAATCATCAATTCTCAAATGGAGGATGGTGATTTTCCCCAACAGGTATTTAATATGCTTCATTTAGCTTTAAAGTAAAGATTGTCCTTGGATCTCTTAAAACACTTCCTTTATATGTAGTATGACAGGAGTCAGCATTAATTAATCAGGCATTGCATTTCTTATTTATAATGCAGGAAATCATTGGAATCTTCAATAAGAATCGCATGTTGCACCATGCAGCATATAGGAACATTTCCCCACTCTAGGCACTTGCAGAGCACCGTAATCGGGTTCCATTGCCTTGATGCCTTCGAGATCAAGAACAAAATGGAGATAACTACATATAGCTTCCTCGGTATTTTACACAAAGATTGTTGTTGTATGTATAAATGCGAATGCATATCTTTACCATACTAAAGTGGATGGGAGTTGAACGAAGAATGTATAATTATACCACTGCTTACTGCAGCTACAAATAATTTTTAATTATAGATCATGATGTATGAGAGAGTTTTTTTCGATCAGAGCCTTTAAATATATAATTATTATACTTCTTTTCATTAATTAAGATTAAAAAATATAAAAATAAATATTAATTTTATCATTAATATCTTATGAATCATTTTAATTGAATATATAGTTAATTAAATAAAGGTAACATTTTATTTTTTTTAATATTACTCCTTTTATTTCATCAATATCATATGAATCATTTTAATTAGATGTTTTAGAGGTAATTTTTATTTATTTATTTGTCATTTCAGATTTCTAGAGATGCATTAATGTTTTTCTTTCAATTTTACCCTTCTTACATAAATACAGAAACTCAAATGCCAAATAACCTAAACAACCTTTGCCTTGCCGTTGTTTTCTCTTCATCTTCTTCTCAACCCAACCCTGTTCTCCTAAACTTATGTCTTCTACATTTTAGGTTTTTTTTTTTTTTTTTTTTTTTTTTCTTGTGGTACTAATCTAGATTTAAAGTTTCCAAGTTGTCATTTTGATTTTCCAGTTCGTTCTTCGGGACCTTTACAAATCCAGAATTGGATTCTTTCTATCAAAGAGCACTGTTGGACAATTTCCAGCATAAGGTGACTTCTCCGACCATTTTTTGACAATAAAAACCTTTCTTTTCTTCCAAAAGGAGGTTTATTTCTTGAAACTCACTCTCATACCCAAGTATCTTTTGATTGTTTTTTCAAGGACTAGATACGACGATATATTTTTTAGCATTTGACGACTCACTACACTAAAACTCAACTCCATCCAACAATGGACGTCACAACAATTGGGTTTTACACCAGATTTCTGCCCCTTGGTTGCAATAGAGAGAAAAATAAAATTATTCATTTTTTGGTGTTTATGAGAAATAAGAGTTGTAAAGCATTCCAGTTTTTATTTGCTATAACTATCCAAGTAGCTTGACCCTAGTTACTAATAACCTTTTCAAGGTCAGTTACATAGTCTAAATCTAGCTAAATACAATTTGTACTAATAATTTGCTCTTTGATTCTAACTGGGTTTCAAATCTATATTGATTTCCAAATTTCCTTTTATCATATAGTATTTCATGTATTTGATTTCTATTTCTTTTGTAAGTTTGATTAATGCTAGATTCCATCCCTTGTTGTACGGCAATTTTGTTGGTGTAATGTTGGGTTGCCTCTCATCCTTTTCTTCTTCACTTTCTTCCTCTATTTCTTCCTTTCCCTCTCTGTGAGTATTCATTTTCATATTTTCTAGTTGTTTAGTGGTTATGGTAATCTGTCTGCACAAATTATCTAACTCTTTTGCATTTTCTTCTTCTAAGAATTTTTGTTCCAATTTTTTCAGTTTTTCTTCTTGAGTTTTTAATAGAAAAAAATGTTATTCCCTTTGATTTAGGTTTCTTTGTAAAAATCTTTGGGACAATTCTAAATCCTTCATTTCTTTCTATAATATTTCGTCTGCTACGAACTGATATTATAGTATCTTGTAAGTCTTTAAGTTGAGTTTGGATTTTATAAAAATTCTTATCTATATTATTTTCTAATTATGAGATTATTTTATTATACATCTTTAAGTTTTTATGATAAATTTTTCAACGACTACTTTCAATATCTTAAGAATTTCTTCTATTTTGATTTCTATATTTCTAATTCGAGAGATTATAGTCTTCGAGTTTCTGATAGACCTTATTTACTCTTTTATTTCTTTCAAATTTTTATAAATTTTAATTCCATTTATTTTTTCTTTGATAGACTCAAACTCCCATGAGAGGGATTTTCCCATCTTTTTAATTTTTCTTAAAGTATTTTTGTTGACCGTTTGTATTTTTAGAATCTTATCAATAATAATTATATCTTCACTACAAATTATGTTTTTACCCATTGTATTGAGTAAATACATGTTAATCCAATTTATTTGTTCATTATTCATATTATTCATATTAATTTTAATAAGTCAACTATTTCTCTTAATTTATTAATTCTTTTTTCTCTAAATCTAATCTATCTATTATGTAATGCTATAATAGAGTTTATTTTTCAATTTTCTTGTCTCAACTCAGTTAGTTGATTTTCTTTCATTTCTGCTAGGACTCTTTCTTCAGATTGAGCCACTTGCTCAATTTGATGACAAATATCTTGTATTATTCTTGTATTTGTGACAATATCTCCCATGAAGACTTTCTTGGGGTTTAATTGTTATCTTATGTTTTAACTGAGGACTAATCCTGCAATTTTTCAACTTTGTCTAACGCCACTTAACGGCTCTAGTTACTCTAGGGGCTGATTTGTTTCTGACTTTTGAGTATATAAGGGGTGTTTTGTTTCCGTTCTTGGTTCGAGGGCTTATATGCCACCATACTGCCGGTATAGGGGCTCTTTTGAGCCTTTCGCCCATCTTATATTCCATTTGCCAACCAAAATTGACTTTGATTAAAATGATAACTCCATTTACCTAATTACCTAAACTCATAAATAATAAAATTTTCAAAGTTTGTACTACTTGAGTAACTTTAAAAATAATAAAAATTTCAAAGTTTGTACTATTTGGTAGCTTAAAAAAATAGAATATTTATATTGACCTGTACGGACGTTTTGAAAAAGAGAACAGCAGCCGAAATTAATGAGTGCCGTTGGGGAAGGAGCCATAACTTTTGCGTGTTTCTTTTTTTTTTTCCTTTTTGTGAAACAATGGTGCCCTAGGCAAAACCATATGTGAAGCCTCTAAACTAACCCCATAATCGCTATTAAGCCCTTAGACTTTAATTGATACAATTAAGCTCTTGAACTCTGCGACCAAAGCAATTAAGCCCCTCTTCTTACGCCAACTTAACTGTCGTTTGGGCTCCCTCGCGTGGCTCAATTGCCGTCTAGGACACACTCGCTTGGCTGCTTGGATGGCAAAATATTGCCATGTCATACTTATATGACAAGGGATTTGACATTTCAGCGGAAATTTTTACTTATTTGATCATTCAACTCTCTAACTTAAATAAATTTTAAATAAAATAAAGTTTAAATAAAATAAAATCTAACTAAAATAAAGTTTAAATTTAAATTTAATAAATACAGTAATAGATATTAAAAAAAATTTTATTTGATTTATTATAATTTAATTATAAATTAGTTGATAGTAATATAATTTTTAAATTTTGAAATTTTAATATAAAAATAATATCACTTAAAATAATAAATTTATAATTATATGATATATGA